GACTATACTTCTTAGTGCTTGCGAAAGTTTGACAATAAAGCAAAGTGATTGAAATACGTGGAAAATGAGGTAGTGATTCATGAGTGGTCGTACTATAGWGGTATGGCGATTATCACACTACACTGTATATGTTTTCCAGGCCTACATCGGAGCACTTGGTGATCATGCACCTGATAGGCTGAAGTCTGCAGCAAGGTCGATTCTCCAAGAAAGAGCTGTTTCAAGCGGTATTCAGAACTATGAGTCCAAGCCCGATAGGTACCCAATCAGCAATCCAATGACAAAGATTGCTGCTAAACTCCAGGTATGGAGGGTGAAATGTGTAATCTTATACCATTCCATAGTTGTATGATCCTGTTCCTTTATCCTTTCTTAAAATTATTTCCTGATTCAATGGGTTGGTTTGTTTTTACAGGCCGCTGGGGAAGCTCAATACGTCAATGACATCCCGTCCAGTGAGGGGGAGGTGTATGGAGCTTTTGTCCTCAGCACTAAGGTAAATTTTTCATCGAACAACCCGTTTTATATATTGTGTTTTCATCAATTGACTTTTKTTCATTTCGTTTAGGGAAACTGCAAAATTGACCAAGTGGATCCATCAGAGGCGCTTGTAAGGATAATTAATTTTTCATTTTATTTTTGTTTGATGACTCGTATTGTTAATACAGTGAACATTCATGGTTGTTAACAGTCTTTTTTTTTGTAGGCAATTCCTGGTGTGATAAGTTACTTTGATGCAAATGACGTACCAAAGAGTGGAATCAATGAACTTAAGTTTTTCAACTTTCCCGGACCAGCTGAGGGCGTGAGTAAAGCGTAGAATATGTTAATTATTAGTGAKAAATCTCTTTTTTTCGATACAAAGCTCTTATCAGACTTCAATTTGACCAGGTGTTCTGTCAAGGTGATGTCTTGTTTGTTGGCCAAGTGATTGGTATGGTAGTGGCTGGTAAGGAATAACGTCCTGTTTTACCTTTTTACTTCCTTCGTTTTCTTCTTCCCTTCTTCTTCTCATTTTCCTACCCATTTTTCCTCCTTCATTCCTATTTTCTTCCTTTCTCAGTTTCCTGTTCTTTATACTAACAATCGAAGGGTCTCTTTAGTCATTTGCTCGTTGTTATGTTTGTCGACAGATACTCAAAGACTGGCAGACGAGGCTGCCAAGTTTGTCAAAATAACATACAAGGACTGCAAGCCCCTGATTTTGACATTTGAGCAGGCTATCGAAGCCAAATCATTCTTTCCACCACCGTTGTCTCCTCCATGGTCTTTAATGATGGCTGACATCAATGTTGGCGATGCTGAAGGTAAAACTATTTTATTCATCTCAATTCTGCTTGGTCTTCTTTTTATCTCTCTTCTTGTTTTCGTTAAGCTACTTGATGAAACAGATTAAATTAAAAGCAAATTGAAACTCAATCAATCAAGAATAGTTCTAGTGTAAAGGCGAATCCCACAAAATTTCAGGTGCAATGACGTCATCGAGTCACGTGATCACTGGGGAGGTGAAGTGCGGTGCTCAGCATCATTTCYATATGGAAACACAGGTATCCCAACACTTATGATTATGATGGTAATGATATTTCTTGGAAATTCTATTTACGTCTTGAGTTGATCTGCTGGGGTGGAGAAGGTGATTGTCGGACTACATATAAACTGTTGATGTTCAAATGAGATTGTTCAAGCTTTTTTTCCAAGGTGTGTTTGAGTGTACCAAAGGAAGACGGACTTACTCTCTACAGCTCTACTCAAGGAATTACTTTTGTCCAAAAAGGCGTCAGTGATTTTTTAAACGTCAAAGCGACCAGGTATTTAAATATAAAATCTTGTACCCTTCAAAGTACATTCATTTTTTTCCAACGAGGAGTGTTTTACAAACAGGACACACATTCACACATTTTCTTCATTTACATTAGTGTTTATTCTTTATAAATTTAAGTGTCATTTATCTTTGCTATTCTTTATCAGTGTGGATGTGATTGTCCAGAGATGTGGTGGTGGTTTTGGCGGGAAGATTTTACGATCGGTTCAAGTAGCTTGTGCAAGTGCATTGGCCACTAAGGTACTGGACCGGTAAGTCCTGTGATTGATCACCAAGACAATATATATATTTCTCATACTCATTAATTATTCATGAGGTATCCAGCCAATCCCTGATTGTAATTTGTACCACGTGCAGTAGCTGGATACCAGAGGAAGTACTCCTACCTTTTATTCTAGCTTATTTCCAGTTACTTCTACCTTGTTTCCAGCTACTTCTATCTTATTTCCAGTTACTTCTACCTTGTTTCTAGTTACTTCTASCYTTTTCTAACTACTACTAGCTAATRATAATCAAAGTATTAGAAATAATCAACTTAATATAGAATTAATTTAGTGAAAAAAGGCCTCGGACTGGAACTAATTGCGCGGACTTGAAACCCCGTCCAGTCCTCATTGTCGGACTTTAAACATTACATATACATACACCTAACCAAAAAAATTCTGCAACTTTCAATATATATATATATGTCTATTGTTTCCCTATTGGTTAATCTCTCAAGAACAAAAGACATATATATATATTAAAAGTTGCAGAATTYTTTTGGTTAGGTGTAGACAGAGAGAGAGATTATATATATATATATAGAGAGAGAGAGAATTCTAATAAACATAATTACTTTCAGACCTGTCAAGATGAAAGTGAATTTTAATACCAACATGGCTACCCAGGGTGGAAGGTCACCACATATGGCGAAGTACAAGGTATTTTTATGGAATTCGATGAGCACACTAAACGGCTTCAGCGCTGATTTTCAAATTCAAAAACGAGATTGACTCGTTTCCAATACAAGAATCCCTCTCTCCTTCCGTTGAGACTGATCATTTCATACTTGATAGGCTGCAGTGAGTGACGATGGAATCCTACAAGGTTTGGAGATGGACTACTACGTCGACACTGGCTGTACAGGAGAAGATAACGATCTTTATGGCGTCCCGCGACACATTGATAATTGTATGAGTACTTGTTTTGTTTTATTCAATTTTGGCGTGTTATTCTTTTATATTTCAGTTATTACACATTCCTTTCTATTTCGTACCGTTTTGATTTCATTCTTTTCTTTCCATTTTGCTTCTTTCCGTTTTTTTTTGTCAATTGTTTCTCCTTCTATTTGAGTAGTTCTATTTGTCATATCAATTCTGAATGTGTATCTAACGATGTTTCTTTAAT